CCCCCCCCCGGGGAGGGAGGGGGAGTCAGAGGCCGCACCGGCGCCCCGCCTATGGCCAAGGCGGGCGGGGCGCCGGGGCTGCCGCTGCCGTGCCTGCGCACCCCCCTACCTCTTCGCGGCGAAGCAGGGCACCCGAGCGGCGTGCGCGCCACCGTCCGGCACCGAGAATGGGAGGAGGGGGGGGGGCGAGCAATGCGCCGTGCTGTTCCTTTCGAGCCCAGCTTGCTCCCCCCGCGACCGGACAAAAACGGTGGGGTAAACATCGGCCGCGGCAGGGGCGCGGGCGGGGCGTGAAAGCGGCGGATGCACACGCCTGCCCCCCCCCCCTCCGCCCGGTGCATTTTCCGCGCGCATGCGGCAGGGCTCCCGATATTCAGGAGCTCCAGTCTCCGGCGGTGCGCCGCCCCCGGGGGGGGGGGGGGGGGCGTGCACCGAGCACTCAGGAGCAGTCCCAGTGGTGTCGGCTCCGAGAAGAGGGCAGCGGGCGCGGCCCCGGCAGAGAGAAGAAGCCGGCCGGCCGGGGAGCCCTGCCGGCACAGGACGCAGCAGGATCTTGGGCCTCGGAGGTCACTCGGGCATGTTCGTGCGGCCCCCCGTCCGCCTCCCCCGCCCCCGCCCCCCGCCCATCCGTGGTCGAGAAGGGGAGCATGCGCGGCGCTGGTCCCCCACCTGGAGTCCAAGCAAGCCAGAGATCTCCGTGGGGCAGCCCCAGAAGGGCAGCGCCCGCAGCCCCGCCCATTTTGGGCAGACCGAGGTGGAAGAAAAATGCCCCCTCGGGATTATGCCGCCTCGACCAGGACCCCCCCCCCTCCAGGAAGGATCAAGCCTACGGCAAGGGGCGGGGCCGTGCACGCGCGCCCGTAGCCGTGCGTGCCCCCCCCCCCCCTCCCGGATCCAGGTGGCGGCTGAGCAACTGCCTGCCCGCCAGCCAGGGCCGGCCTCCTCGTGGGGGGGGGGGGGGGGGGGGCGAAGAGCCAGGACACATGCGGGCCCGGCCACACTGACCGCCAGGGGGGGGGGGCGTCGGGCCGGGCTCCACGCGAGCGTGTGCGCATGCACATCGGGGCGGCTCTGGGCACATGCCGCGGCTCGATCGCGAACACCGGGCGGCTCTCGGCACCAGCACATTCTCCGCCCCGGTCGTCGGCCCTGCTCCCCCGGAGGCCGGGGAGGGCGGGTTGCGAAATAAAAAATATTAATGATAATCCCAGAGCGCCGGCGCGCGCCCGCGCATAAGTCCGGAGGCATACGGGCTACCGGTATGGGCTTCCCAGCCCCGACTCCTCAACGCAGGCCAGAGAGGGCGCGTGTTGGGCCGATGTCCGTCTCCCCCCGGGGGCGGGGGGGCGGGGGGGCGGGGGCGATCAGGAACTTGGAAGACCCCAGCCCGCCCGCCCCCGACCGGCCACGCAATGTGTCGGCCAGTCATTGGGCGCGCGACCCCGGCAAGGGCAGCGGTGCGGGGTACCGCCGGCCAACCGCATGTGGGCAGAAGAGAGGAGGCCCGGGGCGCCGGACGCGGGCCCCTGCCCGGCCACCCTGCCGCGGAAATGCCGGCATTTTTTCGCCCCTCCCCGGGCGTGCGCGCCGTTTCCCCCCCCCCCCCCCCCCCCCCCCCCCCCCCCCCCCCCCCCCCCCCCCCCCCCCCCCCCCCCCCCCCCCCCCCCCCCCCCCCCCCCCCCCCCCCGGTGTCCAAACTCCCCCGCGCCCCCCTCCCCCTCCCCCCCCCCCCCCCCGCCCACCCTCCCGGTGCACTCCCATCGAATGAAGGGGTCACACCTGAACGGTACCGGCGGCCCCGGCATTTGGACGCTCATCCACGCACTGATCCAGGGCGCCGCGCCGATGGACAGCCTTGCCTTGCTGGGCTTCCAGTCGTCGGTACGTTTGTCCTGGCACCATCCCGTGGGTCTGGCCCGCCTTGCTGCTCATCCAACTGCCTTCGAGTCGCTGACGGTCGGCATTTCGTGCACGCCTCCCCCCCCTCCCGCCCAGACCGAGCTCCTGCTCCTGACTGTTGCCCTGGCCACTGGCCGGTATGTCTCCCTGCCGGGCTTCGTGGCTGGCGTGCGATCGACCGCCGGGACATCTGGCGATCGGCTGGTCCGCCGGGCAGTTCGCCTGCTCGGCGTGTCCGGGCACACGGCCGCCGCCTTTTCCACCCTCATCGAGGCTCGACATTATGATGGATGTCTCTGGCTGGCCGGGGCCCTACGCAGCATCGCCGGCGACCGGCTGCTGGAGTTCATTGCCGGCAATCGCACCGGAGCCCACCCCTCGGTGGGTATGGCCGACACCCCGGAGGAGGTCCTCGAGCATATCCTGGCCGCATGTGGCATCGGCACACCCTAATGTGCAACGCCCCCCCCCCCCCCCCCCCCGGGGGGTCCCCCTCGTCTCTGGTAGGGCTTTTTTCCCCTCCGATTCCACTCTTACTTCACACTGCGGAACGTCTGTTTTTGGCTTCCCCTTTATTTTGCTAATATATTCGATGGCCCCCGCCGCGCGGCAGGAAGGGAGAAAAGATGCCCGAGACAAAGGATCATGAGGCGAGGGGGGGGGGGGGGGGGAGGGGAACAGGGGAAGGAGGCTGCCCCGGTCTCGGGCACTCAGGGCAGGGAGGTGGCAGGTCTACTGCGCCATCGGCCATGTGGAGGTGACGACACCCACGGCCAAGGTGATGCCATGGTCACGCAGCAGGAATCTCGACGAAGCTTGGCAGACTGGAGTCCAGAGAGGGGAGCACATGCGCAGGGAGGGTGCGTGAGCGGGATCGAGGAGGGCGAAAAGGGCGCCACATGCGGGCAAAAGAGGAAGCAGGAGGAGACACAGGCACGCGGGCACAAGTACCTGTGAAGATGTCGGTCGACAGGGGCGAGTCGAATTTGATGTGGACAACGGCGCGATCGCCCGGGCGCAGAACATGCGCCGGCGTCATGCGCCGGCTGCCATCGGGGGCGTCATCCTCGCTGTCACTGCCGTCGTGGGTCTGGGAGTCCGGCGGCGGGATGGTCGAGGGGTCGGCGCGCAGGACATTCCGCACGCGCGAAATCATCGCCTGGCGCTGGAGACCACCGGGTCCGAAGAAAACGGCGATCTGGCCGGCGATGATGGCGGGCGAGCTGTCGAGCACGCGAATCTGCGCACGAACCGCGCGCGTCACCCGGGGCGCCAGCGACAGGACGGCATCCTGCTTGGAGGCCGACGCCGAGGTCGTCACCCAGGGGAAGGTCGTGGCCAGCATGCCGGAGGTGACCAGCGCCGGCTGGGACATCTTCTCCAGGGTCAACGTCACGCCGACATCCCCGCAGAAGGCGAAGGTCGTGCTCATGTCCTGGATGGAAATGGCTGGGACAGGGCGCCCGGGCGGAGGGGCAGGGAGGGGGGGGGGAGGGTCGGATGCCGGGAAAGCAGGTCAGGACACTGACAGGAGAAGCTCTCGCCGGATGGGCTTTGAGGATATGCACGAGCGCATGGCTCGGGGGG